TGTAGATTGTAATTACTTCATTATATCTCTATATATTTGTCATACAAACACTCGTATTTTATAAGTGCATTTTATGGCATATAATATTATTTATGTATTAAAAATATGTAAATATTATACTCAGCATAAAATGAAGGTCTTTTAAAATAAAATACATGATAGTCCTATTTAAGCTAGTCTAACACTGCAGTCACTACCATTTTACCAAAATATTGAATAATACATTTCAGCTGTACATATTTATAGTATATACTTATGCATATAATATGTTTATGATAGTATCATATAAGCAAACTATAGAAAAAAATATAGGACAATACAATATGATATAAAAAACCTTAAAATAGAATAAAATATAATAATAAATAATAAAATTCATGACATCGTTGACATCAATTTTACTTCACATTTTTTAATAAAAATTGTTTAAGGCATTAGTTTGTGGTGTCCTCCGTCCCAGCATAAAAATAAAAATAAAAATAAAAATAAATAAAGCTAGGGCACGGAAAAAAAACAAATTGTTGGGTAGTTCCATTCCCTGCGCTAACACCCCAAATGCCCCAATTCGAGTACTAGTGTCAAAAAAGTACGCTTTTCCAGGAATAATCATGAATACAAAAATAATCAAAATACAGTAAAACCTCGATAAAACGGAACTTCGGTAAGACGGAAACCCCGGTATTACGGAACATTTTTTTAGTCCCGTTTCAAATTACATATAACTAACTAACCCCGTCAAGACGGAATCCCCGTTAATACAGAAAAATGTCAGGGTCCCAAGCGATTCCGACTTATCGAGGTTTTACTGTACTAACAAAAATAACATCAGTAGTAACAAGAACAATAATTTAATAATGACAATAATGGTGACAGCATTAATAAAGATAATAACAATAATTCAAACGTATCCAATTTCTAATAAACTTAGATTTTCCATGGCAATCAATTCCACACAGAAACAGAAGATGTAGGTCACAAACGAAATCGAGTAATTCAGTAACTTTAATATAAATATTTGATTTGATAATAATCAGATTTACATTAACAATACAATTTTGATGTGACACGATTAATAATATTCCCATACATATGTGTATTTATAAAAGCATATTACATATGTCATATTTTAGCACTTTTAATCTATTTAAGATTTTGATTAGTCTTTCTTATTATAGACACAGATAATTTAAAAATATTAAAATATTCTCATTTTAAATATCTGTCAGATAGAAGATACTTAATACATAATTTAATGTACAAAATTGACTACCGTCACAACTATTATTATCAAGACTACCGATATCTGTCAATTTTATTCAAATATTAATATCAAGTTATATTTTAGACTATACGCTGATAAATATTGTTAAGATATTATTATTTTTAACATACTGACATTTAATAATAATTAAATCACTTTCTGTCATTTATTGCATCTTTTGTATTTTATTTAAATCGCGTTGTATTCATCTCGTGTAGTATACCTGTAATCACTACTACAATAATATGAGTATCAGTTGAATATAAGACTACTTGTTAAAATAGTTTTATTTTTTGACATCGTGTACAAAAATATAATGAAGTACGTGAATGAGAAGTTTTTCACACTAATAAAGTACGAATTACGAGATACACAATGGTATTTGAATTTTTTTAAAAAATGTATTTCTCTTTTAGTTTTACCAAAATATAAAAGTACAAAATATTATAATGTCAGTTTAGTGACTATATTTAGATATAACTGTATATACTATTATATACTATTATTTAATATCGTGGGTTTCTACGGTCAATGTTTTTCAAACCGTATATCTTACAGAAGACCAAGCATTCAAAAAACACTGCTCAAACAAATTTGAAGCAAATTTAGTATGTATTTTTTAATATTTTATAAAACACTTTTCTACGGCGTGAGTATTATAATATGATATAGGTGAGTGAGAAATTTACTTTGGACAATAGAATTGCGCAGTATAAAAAATTTTTCGTGTACAAAGGTTATCGTTAAAATATCAAAATCATTTTTGATTTCATTAAAATATATAATAAAATCGTAAATATAAAATTATAAAAAAAAAGTTTAAGCAAAAATTTGTGTAATTAAAAACTGAAATAAAAACCCGTTGAAAATTAAAATAAGGGTCAAAGACAAAATGGTGAGAGCGCACGGTTCTCGCTGCTCACATCCATTGGTTGTTTTATTGGCGACTAAGTAAATATATACAATTACCAGAATACGCTATGTTTATCCAGGATTTATTACAATACTATCAAACAGATAAGCTCACGCAAACTTTTACAATCCAAGGCAAATTCAGAGGAACTATAAAAAAAAAGTCGAACTTTTTCAATCCGCAACAGTATAGACGTGAAAGACGAAAAATACAGAGGTTTGTTTGACTAGTGTGTGAAGAGTAGATTGAAAGATATATTACATATATATATATATATATATATATTAATATTCGAATATTGTGGTGGTATTCGTCAAAAGATTTTCTGATAACCGAACTGATGGTAGAAATTGTGCACTGTCGCGTAAATAACGGGTGTAAAACCACTTTGGCAGAATGTTCTCTTCCTTCGACCTAATCTGGAAAAATGAACGGTCTTTATTATTATTTTAAATAACTCGCGACCAGCTTCGTGTTTTAAACAAGAATACTATAACTTTGGTATTTTACACATATGTGTGATAAATAACATTGAACAAAAAATATTTCAGCACAGGTATTTCAAAGTTCAGATTTCTACATGAATTAAAAACAGCCCTATTTTGAGTAGAAATCATAAGAGTTTTTAATTTTGTTACCTAATTTTTACATTTATAACTATGTTATTTAATGTGCTAGAAAAAGTACAGAGAATTTTAAATAATATAATTATTTAATATAACCAATTTTTCATGCACGCATCATTCATTTTTTTTCAATTACCATAATAAGACACGAATATTAAGTACCTATATATCAAAGTTTGTCTTATTGAAGAATGGTACAAAAAAAAAAAATAATAATAAATACTTGTTCATTTCTCGCCAACAGCTTATCAAAAGTAATCATTTCCGCTTTTGTCATGGTCGCGCCGATAAATTATCAAATGTTGAGTTGCTAGTTCGGCTGAACTTATTTGTCAGTAATTTACGAATATTTATCATTATTTTTTTTTTCAATTATTTCTAATTTCATACAAGTAGTCTAAATTAATTATATTTATATATAGGTAACAACTTTTGAATTTTATTGCAACTCATTCAAAATTATTTGAAAACCTATTTTTGGTTGAGATACGCTACAATACGAGTAGACGTTACGAATATGCTATATGACGTATGCATACATATGTGGAACGAGTCGTTTGCGCTGTATATAGAATACAAAGCATGTACACTCCGCTCGGGTTATGTCAGTAATAAGATTATAATAATAATAATAATAATAATAACAATATGTGTGCGAAGCGTATATTATAATTAATTATTGGTGTCACCCTGTTCCATCCAAACGCCCGTTTTGTTTATACATATTAGCGCCAAGAGTGCTACGAAGCGATGATACGTCAAAACACGCATGTATTTTAATGTATAGAAATTCAAACGTTTATTTCTCTCCGCCCTCGAATTTCGGTGGTACGATTAATTTAAAGTTATGATATATGTATTAACAGTATGATGAAAATTGTTATTTCAACATACGGACTAACTCATGCAAGAATAAAATATTACGTCAACTGTTAATGTCCACAGATCTTACAACTGTTATTTAAATCCGAAACGTAATGATAAAAAAAAATTAAGAACACGTTCGAGCTCTTATTTTTCCCCAACGCGGATATGTACTTATTTTGCTTGTAAAAAACGCTGTCCTAACACATTTTTTCCGTTAAAAATCTACAAAAATATTCTTTTAAAAATAAAGAGATATTTTTTGAAAATGTAAATTCACAAATAATCTTAACAAAAAAAAAAATCGAAATAACATTGTACTCAATTCACATGAACAGTTACAGTATACAGCACATTTACAGGAGTGATTAGGGTCGTGAAGTTAGCATTATAATGTTAACAGAAATTTTTAAAAACATCCCGAAAATGTTTAAATAGACTTGTTGGACATTGTTGGATACTTGGAATTTGTAAGACCCCCAATTTTTTATTAATTTTTATTTTTTATTATTTTTTTTTTTTTTTTTTTTTTTTATTAAGACTGGCTAAAAAATGTAAATTTTTATTTTAAATAAAAATAATGTATGGTCCACCAAATTTGAACAAACGTCCAAAAATGTTTAAATAGACTTTTTGGAAATTTTTGGAAGGTTATTGAAGAGTTTAATTAAAATTGTAATGCTAGATGAGAAGTTGGCAGTACAAAATTGTAATTAAAAATTGGGGGTCCAACAAATTCCAAAAAATATCCAACAATGTCCAATAAATCTATTTGAACATTGTTGGGAGATATTTAAAAAGTTCAGTCCTGATTAATTTGTTTAGTAAGCGTATTATAATTATAACTGTAACGTTAAATGTACTTGTTTACTTTATCAATCAGCATTCTCCACTTACGCTATGTTCCGTCAAACTAACCAAATTATAAAAACTATAGGTATGAAAAATTAACCAATGGCTAGCATACACCGATAATGGTCTACCCAATGCCCACAATTTTGCGTTCTTTATTCAATCGCATAAACCGTCGACCCTGCTTAAACGTGCACAAAGCGTACAAATCGCTGTGTACCAGTTATACTAGCATGCAGGCCAAATGCTATATTCCATTAGCCACAGGCGTGTAAACTAGGCCAAATGTGGCGCAAGTGAGTGTATATACGTATTTGCGTGCGTGTGTGTGTTTGTTGTTACATGGTCATACCGTGTTGTGCGGGGTCGAGACTGAAGGACGTTTCACCAGGACCGATCCACCGCCGCAGCTTCCAACCTGCTCACCCGCAAACGATTAATCGTTTTGTGTACAGCCCCCGCGATAGTAGTGGTTGGACCACCGTCGTGTACGGTTTTTAGTTGTTGTCGTGCTGCCGTTATAACTCGTGCGCGTCTTGATACCCCACTGCCGGTCTCAACTCGTGCCACAAGCGTATGTGGTTAGGCTTAGGACAACGTGGTCGGCGGTCGGCCGGCGGCAGGGAAGAGGGTTGCGCGTATAAGTATAGCCTTACTTACGACGGTGGCGATAACATTAACGACGTAATAATGTGATAACGGACACACGGACTGTAAGAAGAGAAAAAAAAAACGGAACTCGAGGGAACGCCATGCGGCGGTGGTAATCCGAGCGTCCGGCTGGAAATTACACCGTAATCGCACACAATATTATATATGTGTGTAATGTGTACACGTGTGGGGTGAATGCGCTGTACGCGTTTCACGTATACGTATTATGCGGGCGGATTTTGCGTACAAAAACGACTGGACCGTCGCCGTTGTGGGCCTCTAAACCTGACCGAGTCGGACCGCAACATACGCGCGTTTTAACGACTCTCTTAAGGAATAAATTGTTTCCAGAACGAGCATTGGAGATGGTAAACATTGCCAATTTACGTTTACGTTTTTCTTTCAAAAATAATTTCTTGGCGCTTATTATATTTAGCGCATAAAATTTTTTGAATACCGAACAAACGATTTCTTTGTTTTGTCCATAGGCGAGGTTTCTTTTTCGATTCGTGCAGAAAACACTTCTCGCAGTTTTAAACGTTAAAAAAAAGGTAATCATTCGTTACAGTACAATAATGTAAGTAGAACATAATATGCAATGTTTAAAATATCACCGAACTAAATATTTAATAAAATAATAAAAAATAAAATAAAAATGATTAAATGGTTAACACTCGTGAACTAATATCAAAATAAATAACCAAATAGTTTATTAATAGAAATTAATTAATTAAATCTTAGCCTGAAGTATCATTATATTTGTAAAGGACAAACGGTTTTAAATTAAAAGTTCATCGTCAGGTATATACAAAGTCAATAAAATCGCTATTTTATTTTTTCATACTCAGTGACGATTTCATTGACTTTTTATACACCTGACGATGAATTTTTAATTCAAACCCGGTTATACTTAATAATTATACTCCAGGCTAAGTTTTATTTATTTATTTCAATATGTAAACTACTTGTTTATTTATGTATATACAAACATTTAATTAATGTAATTTAATCATAACTATAATTCAACAATATAAATAGTATGAAAAAAAATAACATATTTTAGACAAAAAAAGATCAATTTTTATTATAACCAATGGGAACATAAAATTCTATATAACAAGAGTACCAATATCAATTTTAACACTGGTAAACGATGGTATTGAATACATCAAGTAATATTGAAGCTAAATAATTTATCATTAAATTGATAACGAATTAACTATAATACATCGAATTACTTTTTGATGACACCTATATACCAAGTGCAAACTGCCCCATTTAGTTTTGTGAGTGCTGGTTGTACTCGTTAGACAGTATCGTATATACAAATATATTCAGGTATCTTCAAAATATTGGTAATAAAAATTAAATAAAACTTTTGCAAGACAATGTTTTTGACAGAAAGAGTTTTATAAAATCTAACAAAGCATTAATTAAAAAGAATATATATGTTACTTCTACGTTGGTAAAGATAAGAAACATGTAAATATAATATATTTAAAAGTGAAACAAAGTTTAAATTCGAATTAAAGCATAATATAAACGTATTTCCACTTCTATAATTCATGGACTTTGACATAACTTAATCCGACAGGATTTTTCATCATAAGTCAAAAGAAATTCTCAAGAGAGAAAATCAGTGACATTGAGAAAAACCCGAATCGAGAAGTTTTAAATACCTGAATTTTTGACTTGTATTTAACATGAATTAAACAATACACAAATATCCAAAGTGCGTTCATTATATATATTCATATAATTTAATTTTAATACTTGGGTAAAATCTCACTATTATACTCTTGTAAAGATATACATTTCTTTATTATTTAAAAAAATAAATAAATTTTCTCGTTAACATAAAGAGACAGGTTCAGACAACAAATATCTCATAGAAATTATAGATACTCGATAACTTAAAACAAAAATTTTTTGCTTATAATTCATTTATTACGATATTAGATTATTTTATCAAAAATATTGTACAGTAATCCCTCGTTATCCACGGAGGTTAGGTTCCAGCAAAGTTCCGCGGATAACAAGACCATAAAGCTATGTAAAACGGAAAGTTAGGTTTTATTTACATAAAATTTTTAATTTTTATTATTTTGTACATATTTTGTATTTAATTTTAAAAATCACAAAAAGGTTAATATGTTTTACAATTATTTGATTATTTATTGAAAAGCCATTTAAAATGAAGTATGGTACTAAATTAAATAGTAATACAACGGCACACGTGTCACGCACTAATATCAACCAACAACTGAACAATTTTAAGATATAACAAATTAACCGTGCATATTAAGGTATGTATTTTATGTAACTTATCTGTTATAAGTATGGGTATAATAAAGATAAAATTTTATCATGTGTATTAATAAAATGTTATCGCCGACCCAACCGTGGATAATCGAAACCGCGAATTAAAAATCCACGGATAACGAGGGATTACTGTATTAGATACAATTCGTTAAATTTAATTTTTTTTTTTTTTTTTTGACATAATCTCATATGAAATATTAAAGTCCATAATCATTGGTTTATATTCCAAACTGCTTACATCAAAATTTATACAAAATTACTTTTATTTAAATAATAATATCAAATTACTTATTCTTATTTATTAAAAACCGAAGTATATACTTAAACATAGTGCAATATTTAACATATTCTTGGTAATAAAAAACAAATCCTTTTATCATTATAATAATAAAATTAATTAAATTTAGTATAATTTAAATGTTAAAAACATACGATGATTAAAAAATAATATATAATTTATTCATAAATTATTTTTTTAAAAAAGTTATGAGGTGATATTTTAAACTATTTATTGTTACGCTCTGAACTAAGAATAAAAACAAAATTTATGATTGTGTTATCGTTATGTTCACTAAAAAATGCATGTTTGTATGAATATAAATAGATCATTTATTTATACAACTATTTTAGTACAAGCTTTTAAGAAAGATGTATGAAATAATATTTATAACAAATTAATGTTTGGTAGTACGGGTATAACATTATACCTATGATATAACATATTATAATATAATATTACACCTATGTCTTAATATATCTTAAAAAATAAGATGAACCATTGAAGGGGAGGTTATAGCCCGTTAATCCCCCCACGACTACGCCTCTACCTTTAAGCATTTGATTATTGAAAAAATAGGTAGATTTTGAAGTGCATTATTTTTTAAGCCATCCTTCTCATAGCAAATTTGAATGTGCGCCACTGGGTGTATCTAATTTGACTATAAAGGTACCATGGTATTTTTATTTTGAAATATTTTTATTTTAAATTTTAATAATAAATGTGTAGGTGTTTTTCATTTATTGTTTTCCTATTATTTGACGAGGAAACAAAGAAATATCTTATACTGAAATAATTAAATTAGTTCACTATTCATCATAGATATGTGACTGTTGCAACTTATTTATAAATAAAAATTTCCATACAGTAAAAATATTAAAACGTACAAATAAAATATTTATAAAATAATTTTCAGTTTTAGCCATCTTAAAAAAATTGAAGAGTAATCTTATTAATAAATATTTTAATTTCACTATTTACCGAGTACCATGAAACCCACACAATTAAAGACGTTCGAAATAATTTTTTATGACAAAATAGTAGAATTAAATTAAAATTAAAATAGTAGAATTAAAAACCCAAAAACCACTTAAAAGCAATTATTGCTTATTTATATTTACATACTTCTTACTCGTTTGTCTATTTGCATCATATTTTGGAAGGAAACCAAACTACCAAACCTTCTCTATATATTTTTTTAATGTTTACCGCTTATTTATCACATAATTATTGTGTTCATTAACATTATGACTACATGATATAAACTAAAATTTTACGATAAATCTACCACAATTGCTTACGATTTTCTCGAAATATTTTCTTTTCCATTTTCATTTTTACATTATATTTTAAAAAACACTTTTATAAACAAAAGTTCTAAACTCTATTTTCATGACCATTTAATTTATTCTATTTTCAATAGATAACTTAAGTGATATTTATTTTTTTTTTTGTTAACATATTTTATTTGCAGGGAGATATTTTCACTGTTTCTAATTTCTTTTCTTGCAGAAATTATCAAATAAAAATAGATGCACGTAAAAGAAATTAACGATTTGGATTACTATAAATACTGTCTCTACGAATTGAAGTAAAATTTTGGTCATCAAACAATATTTTATGATGAAACTAAAATACGAAAGTTGAATTAATTGTACTAATAAAAGACATAAAATTAATAAACTTCCATTATACCAGTTACTCATAGCTTGTAGTTAATATATAAAAAGGTTGAAAACCATAAATGAACATGGAATATATTAACCTATACTTTTTACAAAATGATTAATTAATACATTTTATGAAAACGAAAATCATTAAGAGACAAATAACCTCTGCATGAAAAATGACGAAAAAATAGATTCGACATGATTTTTTGTATATTCGAAAACTCAATTTGAAAAATTACATGGTTTCATCCACATGGTTAGTAATTTTTATAAAAAAAAACTGCAAAATATATATCCTATATAAATGTGTATTCATTTAAAAAGCTTAAAAAAAAATGTTCGACTCAACGTTAAAAAATCCGATCAAGAAATGTATTATTTCCTAAATTGACGTAAACATACGTATAAATAATTATTTTTAAATTGACACCCATTTAAGGATTCCTCAATATGGTGGTCTCACATAAGTGACTTATCGGCTTATAATTGTATATATATATTATCACGGCGGATATGCTAAGATAATCGACGTAACCACTCCGGATCCAAATTAATTATTAATTACCAGTGAATGCTAACAAATCGACATATGCCTTACGTAATAATAATTTACTAATATGCAATACATATAGACAAATATACCATTCTGTGAATCTTACCAGCCACGTACTGCTTCTTGACAACATGTATATATTTTATTAAAACTCGATGAGCGTTACTGATTTAATATATAATAATATATAATACGAAAAACGATAAACATTTCTTTATGAAAAATATTAAATATATTTATTAAGTTTCTCATTATATAGAAAATATAGAATTTATTTTTGTTTTTAATACATTTTATAAACGAATTTTAGGAAATAAATATAATTTCTAAAACAATAAAAAATGATTATCAACATTTTAAATAATGATTACATAAATTTTTTTATTTTTTATTTTGATAAATTATATCTAGTACGCAAAATTAAAGTTTAAAAACGCTTTAATGAAAACATTCTCTCTTCAACCTTTCTACATACAATTTACTCATCATGACAAGGTACTTCGTATTCGACAAGTTTGATGGATGGATTGTGAGACGTGTTTATTCAACGAAAAATCAAAAAATTACAAACGATTTTCATCAAAATATCAGACGTTTTAATTTTGTACTGATCGTTGAATTATAATATTTGTAACGGTAGATATTTTTGTTTTGAAAACGTTTTCCCCTTCATTACACGTGGGTGACGGTTAGAAATTATTTTTTCGAACTCATTTTAACATGACAAAG